GGAGGAGGAGCAGGAGGAGGAGGAGGAGGAGGAGGAGGAGGAGGAGGAGGAGGAGGAGGGGGAGGAACAGGAGGAGCAGAAGGAAGATGAGGGGGAGGAGGGGGAGGAAGAGGACGGGGAGAGGAATGGGGGAGGGGGCTGAGGAACGCCAGAAGCCTAAACTTTTGGTGCTCCAGGCGGATTTCTCGGATCCGCGCTGCGTCCCCCAGCGGCGCCTATGGCGCCGCCCCCGGCGCACGCCGCGCGCCTGGTAGGGGGGTCCAGCGCAGATCCAAGATATCCGCGCGGAGCGCCGGAAGTTTCTGTTTATGGCGTTTTTTTTTTTTCTTCTTCTTCTTCTGCTCCCCACCGCGTCTCGACTCGCCCTTCCCCGTCCCGTCCTATCCCATCCCATCGCGTGGCGTTTCACCTCTCCCTCTCCTCCCATCCCCTTCCCATCTCCGTCCCCTTCCCTCCTCTCCCCGTCCTTCTACAGTTTCTTCCTCTCACCGTCTCGCCAGATCTCTCCAGCTCACCGCGTTCGCGCGCGCCAGAGGCCTGGGCAGAGGCTCGACAGCAGTGCAAGCCGCAGCTCAGCGAGCACTCCAGGGCGCCATTTTGCCGCCTCTACCAGCGCTGCTGCAGCTGCTGCCACGTCGGCCATCTGCTACTGCTACTGCCGTCGTCGTTACCGCCCTTTCAATGCTGCCGTTGCCAAGCGCAAGCGTTAGCGCGATTGTCGCTTTCACTGCTATCGTTCACTGGGGTAAGAGTGGTTGTGGACATCTATGGGTTCTCAGGTCGAGCAGTCTTATTCAGAAATGTGAGCGCGTACTTCTGAGTTGATTTTCGCTGTGTTGTCACGACCGTCAGGTCTATGAGCATCCACAGCTAGAGTTTCCAGAGCAGGTGCGCGGATGGTGATGCGGCATAATCTTCTCAGATGTACACTGTAACTGGCGCTCGTGGCATAGATGAGGTAACCGCGAGACCGTCCTGAAGTGACTACGTGCAGATGCGCGGCGTGCTCGGGGGAGAAGCGCAGCAGCTTTAGGGCATCAGTGCGCTAGCGATCATTGGCCAGGACCCCCGGCGTGCGTCTGCGCCCGCGCCTGCATTCCTCCTCTCATCCCCCCCACTTGTCCCCTCCCCCCTCGCTCCTTCTCCTCCCCCTCTCGGCAGAGGTTTCACGCTGTGTGGTTTCTTCGAATCGTGTCTGGTTGGTGGTGACAAGTAGAGTGCAGCTTGATATAAATTATGTTTATATATATATATATATATATCTTGAGAGTGTTGCTGGAGTGGGCACTGTTATTACGCCACAGCGGATAGTATCTTGTCGGGTGTGCGTTTCTCAGCGTCTTCTTCGCCATTGTCTTCGCCATTGTCTTTACGCGTTCGTGAAGTGATTGAGCGGCCTACCCTCCTCCTCCTCCTTCTCCTCCTCCTCCTCCTCTTTTTTCCCTCCTACCGGCGGCGCGTGGACGCGACCAGAGGAGCAGGACCGCTCTCCAGGGCGAGCTGCAGGCGTAGCCACACGGCCAGTCATGGGCAAAACTCTGCCCACCGCGACCACATGAGCTCAATGCCCACCCGTGCCTTTGGCGCTTGCCAGCGGCCGGCTGGACCGCTAACGTCCACCCGCATCTTTCCAGCAGCCTCCGCTTCTTCCCTCCCCTCGCCAGGAAGGCGAAGGGGTCCTGGGGGGAACGTGTCCCACTACTCTTCGGCAACACTGATCGCAAAAGTGCGTCGCGCAATTTACTCGTAGAACTCGTGTTCATAGGATGGGTGACGTTGCGTGCGAAGCACTTGTTGGCACTCCTCCTCCTCCAACGTCCGTCATCGTGGATCTTCCGAGCAGCGCCAGCCCAGACCGCGTTTCGGTCTGCTTCGACATTAGCGGGGGGCGATACTGAAGGGGCGGACGGGGGCCACATTGAATGGGCGCGCCAACAACTTTACGAGGGTTGGCCGCGCGGGATGAGTGCGAAAGCGAGCCGACGCGTGCGCATCTCGATGGTACAATCGCAGCAACTACCGCCCTTGGGAGTGTTGCGTATCGGTTTTCCCATGCGCACGCCCCTGGTGGCACTGCTGCTCAACACCTACAGATCCGCTCCTCGTGGTGGGCCGCGCCGGCACGTGCGGCAGCCCCAGCTGGAGGTCGCTGTCCGACATCCCCCCTGGATATGGAAATGGAGAGCCTCAGCCGCGCGCAGAGGGCAGTGGGGCCTCTTAGGAGGCTGCTTCTTGGATGGCGCGGGCCTTGCATCTACAGACAAGGCCCGCGCCTTCTAAGAAGCAGGCTGCTTCTAAGAAGCCTCCCCCCCTCTCCCTACCCCCCTCTGCGCGCCGCCAATAGACTCAGGGACCACGCGGGTCAAATGAGATAAGAGACAATGCGGCACTAAGACATTCGATACGAACTGTCCTCGACAGAATCAGTCTCAGAAGTTCGTTACACAGGTTACCCGTCGGAGTGAGGGGGCCGAGCGGTCGCTTGCTGCCCCTGGGTGCG